AAAAACGATAAAAATGAGCTTGAACAAAAAGTCTAACTAAACTCAAGTCTTTACCACTATTATTAATGGTTAGCTAGATTTTCTGAGATTGTAATGTGTGCGAGTCTTTTACAGCTAGACTGCCCTGACAAATCCTCAAAAACAAATCTTTATAAAGATACACATGTACAAACATTCACTTACCATGTACTGAAAAGCTCTAGTAAAGTTGACATCTAGTGCGTACTTAAACTTTGACTCCAAATACTTTCTTAACAATAATACAAGAAAAACATGGGAATATGACTGTGTACCCTTGACAAAAGCTCAATTTCCTCTTCCCTCTTTAACTCAGATTCAATTAATTCCCTAATCTAGCACCCTGGGTGCTTATAAATCAAATTGAAATTTTCTTATACAATCAGCAAGAAAAAAGAAACATTTTTAATTAATTAATGACTTTCAATGGAAATGACCATTCTTCAATGACATGGTTTCAGCAGACGAAGCTATCTTTTAAGTAAATAAGTCAACACATGGAAAAACACCCTCCAATCAGTATACAGTCAGAGAACCACTTCTAACTAAATAACCATTCTTAAAATTTCCATAAAAGGTTATGAATTCTATATTAAGATCATTCAAACTATATATGAGCGAAACGATAGAAGGCATTAACATGCAAAATGGGACCACCTGCCATTTGTTACAGTTACAGACTACCAAATGCCAAACACCATTCACAACAAAGATTGAGACAACAACAATATGTCACCTGTGACTTCTGGTGGTGACAAAAATCATTTCTTGTTGTAAGAGGGCAGTGTGGTTTAGTATGGTTGATTAAGATCAGGGTGATGATATGACTATATATTTGTATTTGGGGTTATAAGTCTATGTTTAAGTAGCCCTCAACAGAAACATTGAGATAAAGAGGCAAAGGTCAACATTATGAAGAGTACTATCGGGGAATTATCCGATAAAGATACTTGAAATCTCCTTTTGAAGGATTTCCTTTGTTAAAAAAACCGACTGAATTTAATGTCACAAAGGGAAACATTCAGAAAATATAAAAGCAATCACTACAAAGCATAATAACATAAAGTGGGCTTTTCATGAAAATTGTATAATAAAAACAATACCTGGATATCAAAAGCAATCCCTACAAACCATATTTTTATTTTATTTATTTATCTTGACACACGCTTATTTTTAACAGCGGCACACTATTATAAGTTGGGCTTTTCATGAAAATCAAATAATAAAAACAGTCTCTTGATAACAAATGCAATAGACACTTTACACATATTTATATTATAGGTAATGTATTATTTATACAACACATTATCTGAAACATCTAGCATTGAATTGACTTAATTATAACATGTCTGGAGTGATATAAAACTCATGCTATATGTAGAGTCATACAAATTATCTGGCTACATTTTGATAAGGTTGAAATAAAATCAAGAGTCAATAATCATAAACTTTTCATTATTGACAGCAATCAATGATCATAAAACAATATAAATGCCATAAATCTTATTATACAACTTAATATACTTGAAGTGCCTGGTATCTCCTAATCCTCTTGAATTAGGTGAGGCATGTTTAAATTGGTGAGGCAAGAAATTTCACTTCCATGAGACTTCACCCTGCGCGCAGAGTCTAGTCATAAACTACCCTCTGTCTAGTACAGTTTAGGAGCTCCGCCCCAGCACAACCGCACTGACCTCTATTGTCAACAAATCAGCAAGCTGGAAGGAACACTTGCTAAATGTGTGTACAATGAGAAAAAAATGACCGTTTGAAAGTGTCCTTTGATGACAAACTCTCGGTGAGTTCGGAGATTTATTGAAAACTGAAAGAGTGAAGACAGCGCTCTCTTTGAGATGCAAAGTTGAACGAATGCAAAGGGTAATGAGACTTAATTTTGTGTTGCCTCACCCGCCTCATGTCTTAGTGACTCAGAAAGAAAGACAATTTAAGACAAAAAATATATAACCATACAATATCCATAACTCCTGAAAAATGTTCCCTTACCTTAATTGACCTTACTAACGTCCAACCTCCTCAGTTTATTCTCTTCTATAGACTCAAGTTTACAATTACAATTGCATTCCACTTGAATATTTATGTCGATTTTTCTTCCAAATAAAGTGAACATTCCAGGAACCGGTGCCAAATCAAAGATCTATTACATAGTCTTGTGCACAGTTACAAAAACATGGCTTATTAAGAGTTGCAGTTTATATTGAAGGAGTTTCACTTGTTTTAAAATAATTCTATTTATTTATATATTTATTTGTTGTGATAACAATAGTGGTTAATGCAAATGGATTACAGTGAACAACCTTATTGGGTGTATAATTGCTTGGTTGAAAGATGACTGACATCAAAAATAAAAATAGATGACATAAAAAGAAGAAAAGAAATTAGAGCATATTTATAAGCAGTTTGAGAGGAGCGGAGGGAGGGGGGTCAGCAAATAATATTTGCATGGGTCTTTGATAGAGTAGATGTTTGATGCTAGACTCTGAGTCCCAGGGTAAAGAGCAGTGCCCCCTAGTGCAGATTAATTTTCTGAAATGGTTATGTACCTAAAGATCTAAATCTCATAGAGTAGTCTAATATAATAACAAGGCATTGATAACATGCAAAATGTTACCACCTGCCATTAGTTACAGATGTCAAACACTGTATACCAACCACAAAGTGCACAAACAGTGTCCATAAAAAAGTTCATGACAATGTCATCATTATTGGTGGTGACATAAAAATTAAAACAGACAGCTAATTCAAGCCATTTTTGTTATCTTGCTTCAATACCCCTATTCCCTATACCTGGATGTGTTGAGGTAGATAAGACTATATTTTTGGAGTTAAGCTCCAGACTGTACTACTGGTTTCAAATGTCTAATTACCATGAGAACTAACTGTGTCTGTGTGTAATTACCACAAAGTTTATGCATTATGTTAATTATAGCAGTGATTAATAACTTTCCAACAACACCTCAGAACAAACAAATTCACCTTGGGTGCAAAAGGTTTCCTTCTCTTTGCGCCTTTTCACTCTATTTCTCTCTAAAATTTGAATGAAGTATCAGATTTTCTCACATTTCTATACAATTTAGAGTGTTGACCACATGCCTAATTATTTCATTCCTTGCTTATTCCACTCTTTTCTGCACTATTTTGAATTTAAAAACACGATGGTTTTGACTTTTCTTTATGGGTTTAAGGATCATCACTCACCATAACAAAATTCTGTTCTGGGAAAATAAAAGAGCTGTCAGAGATTTTTTTTGAGCTGTCAGAGAAAGCACACGAGATAGCTGCTAGATTATTGTTTGAAGATTTCATTCATAAATGTTCATATTTTTTTGTTTATTTTTGATTCAAACATTTTTAAGGAATTCAAAAGCCTTTTCAGCCTTTATTTTGACAATACTGAGCTGCAGGTCGCATTAACCACTTATACTAAATATGAAGTTCAGAAAGCAAAATAAGGTAAACACATATCCAGCAAAACATTGGGAGACCTTGGAGCAGTTGTCACTTAAACTTGCTAATAACTTCCAGTCCAATGTTAATTCAATGGAATGTTATTTTTATCAAAAAACAATATTACAGTTAAGTGGAACACCTCTCTAAGTGGAACACCTCTCTAAGTAGAACACCTCTCTAAGTGGAACACCTCTCAAGTTGAAGACTTACATAGGCTTTAATATATACCAAATAATGATATTTTTAATATTTTCTGTTGCACTTAGCTACCTGCATAATTAATAAAGTATTTAATTTAGACAAATTACGGATTTAAACTATCAAATGAGCAAATTTTGGAGATAATATAAGATCTTAATGTCAATAAACCAACATCTTCTACCCACTTTTCAAGAATTTTCCCTCCCTAGCGATTATTCTTGATAATTTCACTCCTGAGACTGAATCCGACACATACGAGTACATTCTCAATTCACTTAATTTACCAATTATTTGCAAATTATAGATGGCGTACCTAATTGTAATTTATACAAGACAAATCAAATAGAGTTTCATTTTTAAAAAATTAGGTCTAATATGATATCACTATTTAATTTAACTATTCCAAGATGCTTAGCGTGAATCCTTATTTAGTAAATACAAACAATAATTCTTATATTTCAGATGAAACTGCTGGAGTATCTACATTCCATCCAAAGGAAAATGCAGTAATATACATGTATATATGGATCGCTATCACCATAATGCTGTTAAGTAAGGGACAAACGTAAAACAAAACTGCTCACTTTACTAGAACTTTTGGACAATCAAGCAGACATGCAACTATGAAAAAAAACATTAAAGAAATTCCCTAATTAGACAATGGTTAACAAAATATGAACTACTACTAAAAATAAAAAATAAAATACTTCTACTAATGAAGTTATTTGAAACCATGTGTACAAGACAGGCTAGCTACGCCTGTTCCATATTAATTAATAATGAAGTCTTCAAAAACTTTTAACAGCCTTACTATACTTATTGAAAATTGGTACTTTGGGGAAATACATGGGCCATAACTTTTAATCAAATTTTGAAAAGGGCCTCATATTTTCTGGATATAAAATCTACTTAGGGGTAATAGAACCCATGTGACCTTTCTTTACAAGTGTGACTATGCAATTCTGGGATACTTAAAAATGAACAAAGTCAAATAAAAATATATTATGTGACAAGGATAGAACTAAAATAGACAATTGGTACCAATTTTTGTCATTATAGATGCAAATAAATGTGACTAAATAAGACCTTTGATTAAACAAAATTATGAATTTTGATATAAATATCAATTACTGTCATTCTTGGGCTACTTGAGATAAGTTTAAGTTTAGACTTCTTTACTTTAATTCAATTTTCAGTAGTCTAAAAGATTTTAGATTGAGGATGCAACATTTTCATAAATGATAATCTAACACAAATCGTTGAACAATTTGACATTTTTTGCAAAAAATAAGATATTTAATAGTTACACTTACTGCTTATTGTACTGCCATTAATGTCAGGATTTCTGCAATCTCAAATGTCAGCAATCTCAGAATATCTGTAATCAAAAGGTGTCAGTAATCTCAGGATGTCAGCAACCAGGATGTCAGTAATCTCAGGGTGTTAGCAATTTCATGGAAAGCAGACAATAGTTTTTGAGGTTGAAGATTTTCTCTCCCCGGAAACGTTCCTTTATAGCTTTATTGTTTTCACCAACTTGCATCTGAAGAACAAATATGTTAAAGAAATTAATTATTTTAGCTTATTAAAATGTAATCATTAAGTGGGCTTACATGTGAAAAAGCCTATTTCTGCAAAATGAGGCAAAGTCAGAACCAATGTTTTATATTACAAGTGCTGTATGTGCAGAGTGTCACCACCTGCCATTTGCTGTCACAGATGACATGCAGAACACCAAATGCCAAACACCAACCATTGACCAACAAACACCAAATGCCAAACACCAACTACTGAACATCATCCACAGGCTCACAGGCCAAAAATACAACTGATTTGATTTTTTAGAATATTTTTTTGTGAGCTGAAAGTATACTTAAAGATGAAACAAAGAATTATTAATCAATTTGAAAATACATGTCCTTGATAAAACACTTGAAATCTAGAGTGATCCATCAAAAACTATTTTACAAATAAATGTTTATTTTATTTCAATATTTAATGAGAGTTAAAAACTTAAGAGATAAACAAATATTTTACTAATAGTAATCATTCATTCAAGTATAATGATTTCCATTCAAAAAGTGATAATTTCAATAAAATATAGTTTTATCACAAACATAAAGAAACTGATAAAAAAAAAATGTGCAAATAAGAAATTATCTGACATTAAATACAAAATATTTACTTTAATAACAAAATAGATGAGAAATAACATTTGCATTGATTGATCCAACAATAATTTGTCTCCTATATATTTCTCTGTATTGTTCTATTCATTTTAATGTTAACTTCATACTTTGGGGGGGGGGGGGTGTCTCTAAGTAGAGAGTTTTAGGGAGATAAGTTGGTAAGATATATCCTGTATCCTGATTTTAGCTTTCCATATCCAGAACAACAACGTTGAAAACTCGGAAACATGAAAAAAATGTTGGGGAAAAATTTGAAAAAAAATTTGAAAAATATCAGAAAAAAGATTTGAAAAATATAAAAATGTTGATAGAAAACTCCACTGGGTATAAGATATTTGCATTAATGTATGGTCGGTTTGGTCGTGAGATATGCATATATCCCTCTGGATAAACCCCATATCCAAAACCTCCCAATACATAACCCTTTTAAGACCCTGAACCCCCTTCTCTTATCTTCTTTTCAACTGGGTATTGTAATAAGTGACAGGTGCTACCCCCTTGATTACCCGTTGTTCAAGCAGATAAAATGAGGAAGGGGGGGGGGGGGGGTGGGGGGCTACAGGGTGTTGAAGGAAGACTACACCTACATTCAATTCTAAGTAAACTGTATCTCTAAAGAAGAGGTTGATATAGTTACCTGCCAGCCTCCTACTAAGCAATTAATGATGCTGGGAAACTATAGATGATAGAATGTTAATCAACTGTAATCCCTAGAAATCACATCCTTTTATCTATTCCTTTCTAAAAGGCATATGCCATATACCCTGTACACAGAGTTTAGTTTAACAATTGAAGAATAACTGAAGACGAAGCTCTCTTTTAAAAAGCTAGGTCGAAAAAATTCAAAGGGCATATTACATATTGAACATGGAGATTCATGGTGAGTATCAGATTGATCAAGAGTCTTCAGATATTTTATATGATTCTATCATTTTCCTTTATAATTTCCCATTTTAAATCCTGCAACAACCATCAAGTAAAGTAGGGAGAAATGGGCGTAGCACTATATTTCTAAGTAGTACCCCACCGCGGGAACAAGAGCAGAGCAAACAATGAGCTTTAAGGGGGGTCTGGGGGAGAATCCCCCAAAAAATTTTGAAATTTGGTTATAATTTGGAGCGAATTTGCAACCATCTGGTACGCCTGTGCGTACCCAGCGTACCGGGCGCTACGCCTATGGGAGAAATTGATATACAATTCAGGCGTGTGTATCTTCCAAGGTTATCAGGTAATTGACCAATTTAAATGGTGCCAAGAAGTTATATAATGTTAATAAAGTATTATATCATGCCTTCTAATAAAATGTTAGTTTTAATGACATATCTGTATCCGTTTACTTTATTTCTACCCTGCGTGCAGAGTCTAGTTAAACTATACTCTGCCTAGTAGAGACCATATTACAGTTTAGTAGCCCCCACGACGGGTACCGGTGACCGTTTGGGTAATAAATCACTTTTGACCTACACGCTGACCTTTCTTCCACCAATCAGTGAACTTGAAGAAACATACGCCAAATGCATTCTAATTAAATATGCGCGTGTCTTTGGTCAATTCCGGGCTCAACGATGACGTCAGAAGGAATGACAATATATAGAACGTCTGTCAAATTTGGCCGACGAACACTGATTGGAGCGGTGAGTTCACAGGTTTATTTTAGTTTGAAAGAGTGAAGACGAAGCTCTCTTTTAAGAAGTGAAGTCAAACGAATACAAAGGGTACTTTATTCCTTGCTGATTTCACTCATTTCCATTTTCTCAATTTGTCCATTTAAAAAATCCCAGATACATCTACCTATCCATCCTCCTAGTTTCTATCCTATCTCATAATAAGATTTTAAAGTTATATTTACATTTATATCAGTTTACTTTATTCCTTGCTGATTCCACTCATTTTCTCTATTTTTCAATGTAAAAACTTTTTGATAAACTTACCTACCTGTTTGCCTAGTTACTAGATATAGTATCTCATCAATGTTGGCAAATTGTTAATCCAATACAAGTATTATATCATACCTCAGTGATCTCCCCAGCATTAAAGCAAGTGGATGCAGCACCCACCTGAGATTTTGAAAATAGACTTGCACCCACCTGAAAATCCATTTGCACCCACTTGAAAATCAGAAAAATCATGAAAAATTGGCATGTTTTGACCAATTTTGGCCTGAATTGTGAAAATGAGAATTTTGCACCAACTTGAGAAAAAATCCTGTGGAGATCACTGTACCTCCCAATAAAATTTTTATTTACTTATCTGTTTATTTGATTCCTTGCTCTTTTCTCTCAATTTTCCAACCTTTGATACACCTACCTGTTTGCTCTGTTACCAAACCAATTGATGCTGGGATTCTAGAATGTAACAAACTACTATCTGTATCAACACCTGACATTGCCTGATGTAATGAATCACTGAGCTTAATTCACAGAGATTCTATCTGAATCTCATTTTCCAATGAATTGGTTATAAGGCAAGGCTGGGGTAATTAAAATATCTGTTTAGTATTATTATTGTCTTAGGAAGGGAGGGATACATTCTGGTAAGGCTGAGATAATTAAAATATCTGTTTAGTGTGATTTGGTTTTGTCAATGGTATGACATCGTTCAATGTTTTTTGATGACTTGTTAAGTATAGAATCTGTTGAGACAATGGGGGATTTGTAATAAAACAAATACTGTATTTTCTAGTCTTGCTCAAAGACTGTATCCACCCCCCCCCCGTCACCTTCACTCTCTTTGCCTGGCAATATTTCTTTCCTAGAGAGAAGGATAAAGGGGGGGGGGGAGTACAGGGTCTTTTAAGCAAGACTATGTATTTCCGATAGAATATGCATAGAATTTTAGAATCTTGAAAAATCCTGCTTCTGTTGTTACTTTATTTATCCTATCCTAATTTTATTTGTTGTGAAGTGGCTACAATTAGGCTAAAATCATTTATCATTTTATCATTTTTTTAGTGATAACTGCATGTACAGTAAAACCTGTCTAATCCGAATATTATAAGAATGTTCCAAAAGTGATCAGAATGGCAGGTGTTCACATTTCAAGGTTTCTTTAAAAAAGGGAATCAATGAAAAATCAAAAAATCAGGACCAAGAGAAAGAGTTCATATTGAGAGGTATTCATATTGCAAAGGTGTTCGAATATATAGGTTTAACGGTACTACCCATACCAGCCGGTGCCATTGATAAGGGCCAGTGATAACCATGTAAAATGTGAGTTTAAATAGTAAACAGGACAGCATACATTTTCTTTGATTATTTTTACCCAATATGGTAAATAGTCAGAGGCTAGAACACTAGTGATTAGCTGAGGTTAGGGTAATACAGAAAACTGTAATGCAGTGCGCGAAATAGACGTTAAATGTACTCAGAAAAAACAATAATTTTAATTCATCAGTAATATATTTACTCAAGGGGCGAGGAGGAAAATTCTCAATAAATGGTGTATAGTTGGTTTGGCAGCATTTTCAGTTAGGGGAGAGTCTTGGATGAAACTTCCACCTAGGTGATAGCTTCACAGAGTGGTAGGAAGTTCTTTTTTTTGAGGAGTTAGCCCCCCATCCCCTGAAAACACCCCACCCGGGGAAAAAAATTGTTTACAGTAAATAACCTTAGATATTTTGATGTTTGTAAGTGACATACATAGATATTATATATATGAATCACTTGCAGTATAATTGATGCTGATTGCTCCTAAAGAAATTGAATATTAGTACAAAGTGTGTACCCCAGGGGGCAAATTTGTGACTCATTTTCTTACTATTTTGATCCTAACTTTTCAATTAGACATTGTAAGAGGTTGAAAAAATTCATGGGAAGTACCCAATAGCAGGGTTAGTAAAACTGAAAGATGCAAAGCCATTAAAAAGGTAGGAGCTGAGAAAAAAATTGTTGATTTTTCGAAAAATTTGACATTTTTGACAGTTGGATTTTGTGTATGACTATAGCTGACCCCTATAGTTTCTAGATCCATCCCTCTATAGTGATATTTATGGTTTTATAGTGTGGAACTAAGATGTAAAACATAATTTAGATGGGTTTTAAGGAAGTTAAAGGTTTTAAACAAGTCCAAAATTTGAAAAATTGTAAATATAAGGTTTCAAATTTACATATTCCAGGTATAGCCATGGCTGACCCCTATAGTTTCTAGATCCATCCCTCTATGATGATATTTATGGTTTTGCCATGTGGAACTAATATGTAAAACACAATTTAGATGGGTTTTAAGAAAGTGTAAGGTTTTAAACAAGTCCAAAATATGAAAAATTGTGAATATAAGGTTTCAAATTTACGAATTTCAGGTATAGCCACGGCTGACCCTTATGATTTTTACATCCATACCTCTATGATCAAATATA